GGGTAGGGTGCCGGCCAAATACAACAACACTGGTTGGCAGGATGTGGCTGGTGGGTTTGAACCCATCCAGGCCTGCTAAACAACAATGACAACTGCAACAAAAAAAATAGCTGGGCATTATGGCAGGCACCTGTGGTTCCAGCTGCTTGGGAGACTGAGGCAAGAGAATTGTTTGAGCCCAGGAGTTTGAGGTTGCTGTAAGCTGTGAAGCCAAGGCAACAGCTTGAGACTCTGTCTCACAAAACAAACAAACAAAAAAATCATGCTTATAAAACCATAGGTACATGGAAAAGGTACACAAAATCTGTACACAGATTTTTGTTTGTTTGTTTTTGAGGCAGAATCTCAAACTCCTGGGCTCAAGGAATCCTCCCACCTTGGCCTCCCGGAGTACTAGGATTACAGGTGTGAGGCACCATGCCCAGCCAAAATATTTTTTAACATTGCTTACATTAATGAAAAAGCAATAGCAGTACAAATCCTTCTCCCTGTTCTATAGTGGTTTCTTTGAAAAATAGAAGGGTTGGGGATAAGAGGTAGTAGACTTTATGCCGTCTCTAAACAATGGAGGCTGGGAACCTGCTGTTGGTCTCTAGAACACTTAGCTGGGTGTTGATGTCCCAAATGCTAGGTACTTGATTGAGAAAAATCATTGTAGTAAAGATTGAAAAATAGGGCAGCACCTGTGGCTCAGTGAGTAGAGCACCAGCTCCATATACTGAGGGAGGCGGGTTCAAACCCGGCCGTGGCCAAACTGCAACAAAAAAAAAATAGCTGGGTGTTGTGGCAAGCACCTCATAGTCCCAGCTACTTGGGAGGCTAAGGCAAGAGAATCGGCTAAGCCCAGGAGCTGGAGGTTGCTGTGAGCTGTGATGCCATGACACGCTACAGAGGGCGACAAAATGAGACTCTGTTCCAGGAAAAAAAAAAAGAAAAAACCAGATTGAAATATGACCTGGATTGATATATCCCTTCTCTTTTTCTTCCTAATAAATCCTGTGCACATGTAGATTATACCAACTTTATTATGGGATTAGTTCAAGGAAAAATAAGTAACTGAATGTTACTAGCACTGAAATAAGTAACTGAAATCCTAACATTCTGGGAGGCCGAGGCGGGAGGATTCCTTGACCTCAGGAGTTTGAGACGAGATGAAGCAAGAGCGAGACCCTAGCTCTACTGAAAAAAAAAAATTCCTTTGGCAGGAATTGTTTTTTAAAAACTCACTGTAGAAGTTAGGGGAATCCTTTCATAATGCAAAATAGAAGTGAAGGTGCCAAGTTGTCCTCAGTCAGCCTGAGACCAGTGAGACTGTTGAAAACCCACTTTTAGAATAAGGGCTGATTCTAGAGTGGGTTGCTGTTGTTTAGCTCCAAAACAGAAACTTCATAGAGCAGCTCAGGAGACTCTGCCAAGTGGATCCGTCTATCTGTTACTCTCCTCCTCATAAGGAATGGGGAGGACTGAAAAAGGTGGTCTTCAGGGAGCTCCCAGTTGGATAAAAAGAAAACATGAACACAAAGCAGTAGGACAGCGGGAGCTCAGTACTGAAAATAGTTTGGACAGACTTTGTTGAGGGAGATAGATCCCAGGAGTTTTTTTTTTTTCTTTTTTGGCAGTTTTTAGCCAGGGCTGGCTTTGAACCCACCACCTCTAGTATATGGGGCCGGCACCCTACTCCTTGAGCCACAGGCGCCGTCCGGTCCTAGGAGTTTTTTAAGGAACGGGGTTGGGAGAATGACTTGTAAAGCCTATTGTGGTAGAAGATGGGCAAAGCTGGACATTAAGGGAAGGGAACAGGTTTGCATTTGAATATCTGTGTGAGCCTCCTAACCTCATTTTGGGTTATTGAAGAGGCTCTTCACAGAGTCTGGTGAATGATGGCCATGTTTTGTCTTTTAGGGTTGGCAATGTTTGATTGCACTGGGCATGTCCTTCCTGGACTGTGGGCACACGGTAAGCATCTCCAAAGTCCCGCTGACCGAAGAAGCCACCGGTGACTATACTAAGTAAACACTGGTTTAGTCTGTCTGTCTTCCCCAGGTAGCCATCAGAGCCAGTGTGTTTCTATGGTTTACTGTGTGAACGTAGCCAAAAGTATGTGCTGATGCACAGACTGCATTTAAGACTCAACAGTTGGTTGGGGAAGACTTTGCTTTATATGTGTTTGAAAGATGGAATTATTTTTCTCTTTTTGACTTCCTAAACTGGGAACTCGATTAGGTAGGATCTTTGAAAAGCTAACATTTGCCACTATCAATCCAACACTAAACTCTTAAGTAGCTGCCTACAGGCTAGCTGGTTTGATCTGTTCTTTTCAGAGATAATCCTGTATGCATGCTTCTTAACCAGTCTACATGTTTAAAACAATTTTTGGAAAGTGCAATACATTTTTCATATTACAAATGACAGAACAAGCATACAAATTTTATTTATCAAAATAGGGTGATTTTAAAAGGCAAAGAAATTGTTTCCTTACATACAACCTTTCAGTTATTTTAATTATATAAAAGTCTCAACTAGGGTGGTCATCCAGGCGAAATATAAAATTCAGAGACATCTACCTCTGTCAGGCTTAGGATTCTTTTAACTTATTTCCACTTTTAATTCCTCAGTAGAACTTAAAAGGGGTGAGAAAACAAAGAAGTGAAAGAAACACAGGTAGCAAAACTCACCTGTAGGTGATGGTTACTCATCACCTTTTGAAGATTTTTCTCAGAGATTGAGCGCTTATCAGATTTTACTCAGGAGTCCTGATTTTTATAAACTTCATGTTAGTATCAAGCTCTCCTGATGGTATTTACTCTTGAGCCCATATAATTGTAAAACTTCACTTTCCTCCTCTAGGAGGGTGGTGATAAAAAAGGATGGTAGCATTTATGAGCTGACATTCTCATGAGATTTTGAGGGTGGGGAAAAAAGACTCAAGGGAGGAAGAAGAGCCATCTGTTTTATTCCTAAAAGCACATCTTACCAGAATTCATTATGTTCTGATGCACCTGCTCTGCCTCTGCTTGTAAAGCAATCTCAAGCTATGGATTGAATTCTTGCACAGCCTGCTCTTTCTCAGCAAGTCAGTAGGTGTCACTGTGGTTGCAAAGTTCTGTCAGCAAGGTTGGACTGGGCCACCTTTCTACAGCTGTTTCCTCAAAGGGAAAAACTTTGAGACCAGATGGTGGAGCTCTGAAGTCAGAGGAAATGGGTGTCTTCAGCACGAAGCTGCTGTTCTTCAGCCACTTCTGACATTTTTACATGGGAAGCCTGTGTGATTATCTCAAATCAATCACATTTGTCTGCTGGAGATAAATATTGAAAAGTCTTTTATAGCTGTTGACTTGGTGAGAACAGTAATAGCATTGAAAGACTTACCATTTTGGTGCTTTCCGTCTGGAGTCCTGGTTGAGTGATGTTCTCCGTTCATCTGAGCCCCCTGAGGCATTAATACTGATATTTTGCACACAGTCAAAAGTACGGACTGGATGGATCGGATCATCTTTTATAAGGCATTAAGGGTACACTACTGTGTTTTACTGGCTAGACATTTTTCTTAGCCCTTCAAATGATAAGAGTACAGAATCATGAATGACAATTCCCCTCACTGTTTCTCCTCATGTCTGCCCTCTCCCTCCACACCATCATTCCCCACACTGGTTGTAAAGGTAGTCTGTGAAGATAACTAGGGACTGACAGGTTGCCTTGTCTGCCTGTGGTAGGTGCAGGCCAAACTGACAGAAGATACAGTAACATTGACCTTTTCCCCGATCTCGGTGGATTCAGTCAGTCTCAGATTCACAAATATTTAGGAGCAAATGTAAAAGCTGCTAGTATTCTTTTAGAAGCTGTATTTATGACTTACAATGATAGAAAATGTCTTCCCTTGACTGGGCCCTGTGGCTCACACCTGTAATCCTGGACTCTGGGAGGCCAAGGTCAGAGGATCACTTGAGCTCAGGAGTTTGAGACCAGTCTGAGCAAGAACAAGACCCCCATCTGTACTAAAACTTAAAAAAAAGAAATTTGCTGGGAATTATGGCAAGTGCCTGTAGTCCCATCTACTTGGGAGGCTGAGACAGGAGGCTCTCCTGAGCCCAAAAGTTTGATGTTGCTGTGAGCTATGATGATACCACAGTACTCTAGCCAGGGCAACAGAGTAAAACTCTGTCTCAAAAAAAAAAGAAAAGAAAAGAAAAGAAAATTTCTTTCCAGTTAAGTATTACTTTATAATACTCAGTGTGTAGTATTTTACGTGTTAAAATTACTTCCATGCCTTATTTCATTTGATCCTCACAGAGAGAAATTATTTTCAACCAGTATGCTGGTGAATAAACAATATATAGAAATTTAAGTCCTCCATTGCCAATTTATGTGGTGCGTTTTGGCAGTGTGTTTGTATGAAATGTTTAAGGATGTACAGTTGTACTTTATATAAATTGGTCCTTGTTCTCTTTAAATGTGACATTAAATAATTGTGCTGCTATAGTACACTGGAAATTACCAGGGAGAAGGGGAAAAGCTTTAGTTTGGCTCCTGTGAGGTCCTGCTAGTTAGGAGTGGTTACAAGTGAGCTTTTAGTAACAATATGTAAACTTGGTTTGTAATTAAAAAAAATTCTTTTTTCAACCTGGTTTCCTGGGTATTTTTTCAAACTTGAAATTACTTTATTAACGGGGTTTTAACAACTTCGATACAGAGATACTGAAACATCATTTCCCATCTGGCAAGACACACGAAGCTCACACTGTGATTCCATCCTCAGAGGGACAGAAAAAGAAACAGGCATTAATTGCAGACACTCAGACACTAATTTTCTTACTCAAATAGTTTTGCCAAAGGTCACACCATTCACCATGCTTACACTTGAAAAAAAAATGTATTCTGCTTTTCTCTTCTATGAACAGAGTATTTTTCTATCTATAGTCTTGTCCCACTATGGAAGAGGTTTTCACATTCTCCATATGCTGCCAATAAAAATTAGTGAGTATTTGAAGAGAAGCCAAAATTGTTTAGCTTAAAAACCAATGAGCATTTTGGCAGAGCTGTTAGACATGGAAATACTGGCATCATTTATGTTTTAGAAAAAAGGTGAAAGTGGCAGAGTGAACTATCAGTGCTATTACTAGACGCGTGACAGGAGAATCTAAGGCAGCACTTGATCATCCCAAGCGTGTCGCTGGAACTTCCTTTTCCCTTCGCTGCAAGCTTTCTTTGCCTGACTTGCCTGAACAGAGTAAGGAACACCATGGAAGTAACATGGTGGATAAATTTTTTTCTCCATGTTGTCCTTCCTCATTTAGCTGTCCTTACTTTGAGTTCAAGTCTGTAACTAAAATAGGATGTGAAACAATTTGAAGATCCTGATTTGAGATACTTTCTTTAGCTCTGGAACATCTTCCATTACTTCACTAGTAGGACCAATGAATCTAAATGTGTCAGCTTCTCTCAGCACCTTAGCTTATGAACACAAAAATATCTGACTCGTTATATGTTAATTCAGGCCTGAGGACTCCTAGTATCTCATTTAATCTGGTAACGGCATGAGGATCAGCCTCCATAAAGATGAGTCAACTGAATGGCAAAAAGTCACGTGCCCACATCATGTTGCTAATAAGTGGACAACTGGCGTTTGAACTTGAACAGTCTAATTCCAGAACGCATATTTTCATTCCCAAACTATTCTGTATAATATATAGCGTGCCCTTCATGTTGGGTCAAGACACCAGGCTTTGTTTAGCAGTATCAGGAACACCAACACTTTAAAGCATTTGCTTGATACTCTGATTAGTGCTAGAGTATGTTTTAGCCCAGAAGTTGCCAACTGGACTTCACTTGGCTTGTGCAAAATTTTAAAAAGTTTGAATTCTTTCTGGCAGGCATAGAGAATGAGCAGGGCCCTCTATGGTCCTACCCCAGCAATAGGCAAGAATCATTGGCTAATAAGTTTCCTCATTTGCATTGCCAGTCTGCCCGTGGAAGTCTGTTAGCCTATTGCT